CTGTGTCCATGCAATGAGGGAGGAAGGGAGAGCGAGCAATGAGGGAGGGACAGAGTGTGTGTGTGTTCATAGGGCGAGTCCCACATGCACACCTCACTATATACATTCACTCACACCCCCCCCTTGCACTGCCATACATGCAAACCCTCACACCCACACCCCCTAGCCACCCTTCCTTCACACAACCCCCCACAAACCCCATACCCACCCACAACCCACACATCCACACACACACTTACATGCTCCCTCACCCCACACCTATGCACCCCCCACAGACACACCTACACCCCACATACCCACAGCCTCCCACAAACCTATCTCCATCCCCCATGTCCCACCCCCCCCCACAATATACAAGAGTAAAACTTTATTTTAAGCTACTGTGCAATCACCTCTACGTACACTACACATACACATGTAAATCGGGACAAAAATATTTTTTGAAACCAAATAAATGAATGCTGTACATGTTCAATTTTTAGAGTATAATTTGGTATTTTTCTGGTTCCAAGACGGCAAAACCCCTTGCTGAAAGGAATACTTCTGGAGGCAAGGGGGGTGATTTCTGGTGGCAAAGGTCAGCAGTTAGAGGGTGGGACTTCTCGTGACAAGACAGCGACCAAGAAGTGGGGCACCTGTCAAGGGGCGGGGCTACCCCTCAACAGCTTGCCAAAATTCGGTAAGCAGCCCTCCACCCAAAATAACTGCCTGCCCCTGATCCAAGTAGTCTATAGAATAGCTGCTAAGTCACAGGTGGTCAAAATGGCAGATCTGGCCAGCGGCCAGGTTCCATTTCCCAGCAGCCACTGCATGCATCACCGTGGCCAGTTTCCATGGACACCCCAGCAGCAGCAGCACCGTGACATCATGGGGCCAGTGTTTCCATGGAGACTGGCCCCAGTAGCACCGGCAGAGTGGATCTTGCAGTGGTGACAGTGTGGTCCTGAGCTGGGGCATGCAGGGGAGCAGATCACAGCTCTGCCCCAGCTATGCTGTCACCACCACAAGATCCCTGCCACGGAGTAGCTCCCTGCCCAGGTGCGTGCCCTGCCAGCTTTGCTGGGGCCAGTGTCCATTGAAACCCTGGCCCTGCGCTGTTACCATGCCACCACTGCTGGGGTCTCCATGGAAACCAGGCAGGGCCTGCTGGGAAATAAAGTCTGCAGCAAACCCAATCTGACCCACAGGCTAGACTTTGCCTGCCCCTGTACTAAATGAAGGAAGTTCCTTTACTTTTCCTACAGAAGTAGCTATATTATTAATATTTTATTCAAAATAAATATTTTGCACACAATAAACAAAAATTAAATAAATTAAATCCTGAAAATCTAAGGTCTCCTTAGAGATGTTTTTACTAATGAGTGAATTTTTTTTGAAAATACTGTATTTTTTGCATTGCAAAGATAATTCATTTTTCACCCATATTAAAATTTGCCAACAAAAAGTCTGCTTCAGGTTGTGACAACAGTTTTGACACTAAACTGTAAAACATAACTGCCACAATAAGTCAGCATTCAACAGAAGAAAAAACTCTACAGTCCCCAAGATAATGATAAAACAAAGAAATGATCTGAAATCAATCAAATTAAATTCAATAAGGGAAAATGCGAAGTCCTGCACTTAGAACAGAACAACTGCATGCAGAAATACATACTGGGGAAAAACTAATTAGGCTTACAGTATACAGAAAAGGATGGTGGATGACAAGCTGAATAATAGTCAATGGTGTACTCTTATTGCAAAAAAAATGGCACTAGCTCAGTGGGCTGGATGAACAGGACAGTTGCTTGCAGACCAAGGGAAGTAATTTTCCTGTTCTATTCAGCACTGATGAGACCTGTGTCCAGTTTTGGGCCTCTCACTTCAAGAAAGATCTGGACAAATTAAAAGGAGTCCTTCAGACTGCAACTAGAGTAACGAGAGACTTGGAAAATAATGCATATAAGGAAAGACTCAGAAAGTAGGATTCTTTAGTATGAAGATGGGAGCATGTGACCACTTCTCAAATACCTGAAGGGTGATTATATGAAGGATGGAAACAGACTAATCTCTGTGGCTGCTAGGGATAGGACAAGCAGCAATGGGTTTATATTGCACGTTTACAGTCAGGTTACAATTCTGCAGTTTGCTCAGTTTAATGACCAGTTTAGAATTTAAAATAGACTTTTTCCTATTAACATGGATACCCCTAAAAGCAAACTGACCTGTTAAATAAAGCTCTTGGTGGAGGAAGCAGAGGAATAACAGTGTTGCTTAAACACTCGCAAAGAGGGCAAAGGAATTCACCATTTTCTACATCATAACTTGTATGCACACGTAATCTTTGTTGTCTTCTTTGCTCCTTTGCCTGAACAGCATCAAAATACCTTTAGAAAAAAAGAACAGCAAGGTATTAATTTTCTATCAATACAAATCATTATTTTAGTGTATAAATCTATGTATACTCTGGCAGCATTTGTTTTTTCTAGATATACACAAGTATATTACCTAAAAGAATTATTGGCTATTACCTTCCTGTTAGTCAAGGTTTACTTATTACTATTTGTTGATGATGATTTTTAAAAATAAGTCAGTCCACTGAACCATCAAAATTAAAGCAAGACTCTTGAAGTCTCAAGATCAGGATTTCCTGTATTCTTTTTTTAAAAGAAACCTGAAAGACTTAAGAGGAAAAAAAATACTGATTTTTACTTTAAAATTAGATTTTCTGTGTATGCTTACATATGACAGCATACTGTTTCATCTTAATACTTGATGGTGCCAGGCCATAGATATACAACTGCCAGACTGAAAGCTAATCTCTGAAGTGAGCAAAGAGCCAGTATTAACCTCTACAGTAAAGTGCCATATAGAGTTACTAGAACTAGCTCAAGTATTGGAAGCAACACAGGGTAAATTCATTTATTTAGCTCTGGAGAACTCATGACTGCATAACAACTGTCTTTATACTTAATGTCCTCTTGGACTAAGGAACACAACTGACAAAAAACAGACTGAGAACAAGTCTTCATAAGGAGTACAAAGAAGCAGTACATTCCTCTCTATCCTGCTTCTACAGGGAAGTTAACCCAGGTGGGATGCTACACAAGCACAACTATATTATTTCTTGGTACTCAATCTAGGTTGTTTAGACTCAGCTCTGCATTGCCTTATACATGGAAATACCTTTAGAAATAGAGTGCCTTATTGCTCACTTTTTTCCCCCTCACTTTGCTTGCTCTCAATTTTGCTGGATAAGGCCAGGAAGTTTCAAGTACAAGCATTTTTATGCTTTATGCAGTCATCAACAGACCAGAACTAAAGTAAGAATGCTTCAAGTGCAAAATCCTAGGTGCACTGTGAATTCAGACAACTGCTTCAGTGAGCCACAGAAATAAATGCTGAAAGTAAACCCAACAGTTATGGTTCTTTGCATGTTCAACTCAAAGTTTAAATGTTAACAGTATGTAAAAATTGATGCAAGTGAAATTAGCCACTAGTGAACCTTTCTTTTCAGATGCAGTTAGTGAACAGAATACTGAAAACAAAATTAATAAATTAATTTCAGAAGTGAGCTGAGCTATAGCAGAAATAAAACCCTCAAACTGAAAGTGTCTATAGAGGCATATGCTGAAAATACATTCCAGCATTGTGTACAAGAGAAGTTTTTGTGGGCAAAATCTTTTATTGGACCCATCTGCTACTTAACTCTCCTGTGCTTGATGCTCTGTCAGAGACTTGAGGAAGGGTACCGTGATACCCAAAAGCTTATCTAAGTCTATCCCAAGCACACAGGTGGCCCAATAAAAGATACTGCCCACAAAAACTCTTTAGCATATTTCCAGGACCATTATGGTTACATATATCACTTCAAACGCTTCCAGAATTGATATTTGGTAAATTTAAAAATGTAGACAAGCCCCTACCCTATTGCTGCTATCTTTCACAAGTTTTCAAGCTCATTTTCTGATTAAATGGGTTGTTGGCTGATTAGATAAACACCACACTCTGTTTCTGTTGACCAAACAATATATCAAAGGCTCAGGTCCTAAATATGGAATATTTGAAGCAAATTATACTACCAAAATCATCTACCAAATTCAATTTAACAAAACTACTGAATGCCCCACAAGTAGATAAAATTATGCTAATCAAATAAGTTATTTGCTGCAAATTATTTATTCAACTCTAGGTTTAAAATATTCTTGCTTTCCTGGTTAATTTTTACATTAATCAACAGCTGTACAAATAGTAATCACATCAGGATCCATGTTCACCATTATGGCAATATGACAATTTTTTCAAATACTGTATACATATGCAGGGAAGTTCCTTTAGCTTGAAGAGAAAATTTCACCTCTTATCCTCTCAATGTTGTCTATAATTATAATTTACAGTCTACTTTTTTTAAAGCTACACCATTCATGCAACTCCCACTCATCAAGATAAGAACCTTCAAATTAGTTATGAGGTTTTCAATAAATTACTCCCATTTGCAATATTAAAAATTTTCTTAGCTATATATGGTGTATGTAAATGAGCACACATGTGGTATGTGGCACCACAGACCCACCCGCAGTGCTGCATACTGTACATGCTGCACATGCAGGTATTCCCCATGCTGCTAATTTGAAACGTGGGGAAAAGGGGGGTGACACCAGGAGATTCCAGTGTCAGAAAAACTCACGCTAGAAAAAAGCGGGGCAGCGTACATGGCAGCAGTGTGCCACCTGAAACTTGAGTCTGGCTGGCTGGAGCCATGCTCTGGCTGCTAGCCAGGCTCCCTGCTGCTGGACCACCACCACTAGAGCCCCAGGAGGACCCAGGACCCCAGGTAAGGCTGCTAGGGCCAGCCCAGGTGCTGACCCCAGCCTCCCCTACCTGACCTGGGGCAACTTGCTGCACACCAGACCACAGGTGCACAGGTGTTCCCCAGGGACAAGTAGCAGCGGCACAACTATATGCTGCTGCTATTTGTCCCTAGGGAAACACACATGCACACTTATCTAGATGCACACAATGTCTTTGCTTCTTCTAATCTGTGATACCATTTTATTTTTTAAATCCATATTATGGCCTAATTCTTCCTTAATGTAAACGTTAAAACTCAAACTGAAAATAATGGGAGAAAGAATGGACTCAACACCTAACTGAAAATAAAGCCTAGTTCTACCACCTTTAAATATGGTAATTACCTCTGCCAACAGTGGGCATGCATAATATGTCCACAGCTACCTGTGTGTGTTCCACATGATAAATCTGGGTGCATGAATAATGGATCGTATTTTTCTGCATAAAAAAAACAAACAATTATGCATTTAAACCCATCTTTAGCGTATTTTGTCACATACCAAAATCCTATAATGTCATTTACATGCTTTATTAAATTTTAATGGTATATCATCATGATTTCTATTTTCAAGTTAATTAAGGTATATTCTAATCCTTAACAAGTATACTGTCTTAGCTGCTTCTTTTATTGCACAATACAACAATGCTGAACACCACAAGCACCTGAGCTTAAATGGGCATTTCAAAGGTTCTGGGCACGCAAAACTTTCATTATCTGCAAGCAGTGAGAGCTATGGTTTGGTAGAAGAAATATATCGTGTATTTACACACTAACCAAAAATGGGTTGTTTCAGAATGTCTTGAAACCAGTTTTCTTCCCCCACCCTCCAAGTTTCTTCCCCAGAAATAGTCTAATAAAAAATAACCATACAGATGGAAATGTTTTAAACAGATTTCTTCTGTGTACAACACCAGATGAATTCACTGCTGCCAAACTGTTTCACAGAAAATTAGGCAGAACTACTGGATACACTAGTCAAATTGTGACATAACATGCCCCTCAGTTTAGATTTGGAGAGGGCAGGGGTAATGGCTTGGACCATTTGAGAAGGGCAGAAATGGGAGAGGCAAGGAGACACTTCCAGAGAGCTCATTAAAAACTTTCACCAAGTGGGGCAGCAGTGAAATATCCTTTCCACACTGTGGTCAGTCTTTTAGCTAGAGGGAAGGTAACGAAGGGATTGATTTTTACCTTTAAAAGTTTTTAATTGTTTGTGCTAGTTTATGACAAACACTAAGATTTTTTTTTTTTCCTACAGGGCTTTTTTTTTTTTTTTTTTTTTATTTAAGACTTTCCGTAGGGCCAAAGACAACTCAGACTCAAAGGGCATTTTTGTACATGCAAGTGCTGCAGCGCTGAGAAGCTTTGAAAAGCGCCCAGCACTGGGACACTTGAAGCTGTATAAGCAGCGAAATGCACATCAACACTGAGAAAATGGCAGCAGCCTGCTTTTGAACTAAAACACACTGGAGGTGCTTTAGTTCAAAAGTGCACCGCCACTATTTTCTGCGCGCTGACACACATTTCGCCACTTATACAACTGCATGGGGCACAGCGCAGTACACATCAGCTCAATTTAATCGAGTCTGCTCCAAAGCAGCGGGTCTCCAGCATGGTGCAGGACAGAAAAGTATGTGTATAAATGCCAAACTGTTCTGTTGTCTGAAATATTCTATGTCACGACCTATTGCCTTGGTATAATGAAAACCTAAGCTTTTTGTTTGTGTTTGTTTCTGGTTTCACTTGGCTTTATTATTTCACATAGGTTTCTGTAGTTGCTACAAGAAAAGTAGCTTCTGGCACCTGAGTATCTCCACTGCATTGCATGAGGTACAGACATCCTTTATCACAGAGAGCTTATCAGGGTAGCATTTGTGAAGTGAACTGTCTATAAAGATGTGGGTCACACTACTCTAGATTTGGAAAACCCTTGGGTTACACCAAACTATTAGTTCTGCTCCTATACTGCTTAACAGAACTGTCTCTGTAGTTGGATTTCAGCATCAGCTCTACATTTATTTCTGCATATTTTGTTTCCAATTCTGCCTATGATAAAGAGGTGTGTTGCTGCCAGACTTGCACTATTAGGGGCCATTACATCAATAATGGAATTGAATAAAGAAAAAAATATGAGCTTAATGCCTGACAGCATTTGAGGACAGTCTTTGAATAAACTCAACTGGAAACAGAAGCTAAACAGCTTTTGCACGGAAATCATTAACGACAACTTGCATACCTGGCAGTGTATCAATGCTTCCTCCCCCTCTCATTCCTGGTACCATAAAATACAAACAAAATTCCTTTACCTGATATACCTGTTTTCCATAATTATAAATTTGAACGGTCTGCTGGAAGTGCTTAAGATAATATGCTACCTCTCCATTTTCCCCTATTGCTCTAGGTAAGGAACACTATTTCACTGAAAACACTGAGAATTTTGCTACCGAATACGACAGAATATGCTCACAGTTATATAGTTAACAATGAAAAGTATAGTAGCAGAACAAATCTATTTCAGGGAAAGATAGAAGACAGATATCAAATATTCTGCCTTTCAAATATTATAGTAACAATATATACAACTCACCAGGATCCTGAATTATTTTATTCCGGTTTTTAGACAGTACAGTTGATCTTTGAACAAATGCTGCCAAGACCATGGCCCTACTGTCCACTTTAACTTCCTCCTCTTCTTGACACAAAATACAAGTAACCACTTGTCTCTTTTCAGTCACTCTAGTTTGCTCTGGACCCAAAGCTGTAAGCTTTGTATCTGAAACTGTAGGACTAGAATCAAATTATATTTGTGAGAGTATGCTATTTGAAAAATATTTCAGTTAGCTCATGTCTTAAATTCTCTTAGAAAAAGGTAATAAAATTATGTTACATGTTCCCATCTTGAAAATAAGCAACATTCAGCACATATTCATGCATGTTTCCCCCAAAATTATTGTACAAAAAATGCAATTCAGAGAAACCATATGTCCTCTAAATCCATGGTTCGCAACCCTTTTTTGTACCAGGACCCATTTGTAAACATTAATGGCCAGTCCCGACCCAGTGCCTCCCCCTTATTCCTGACCTGCTGTCCCCCACCCCCCGAGTGTGTGGGGTGGCGAGGGGAGGTTTGGGGAACCCCAAGCAGCCCCTTGCAAGCTGGAACTCAGCCAGCCTGCAAGGGAAAAGCCATGGTTTCCCAGTTTTCTCCTTTAAAGGAGAATCCATTTTTAAAGTTTATTGATTCGTCTTTAAAGTCTGTTTGTGATCCTTTCATATATTCTTGACACCTGCTTTTGGGTCATGTCCAAATGGTGCCACATTTAAATATTCTTTGCTTCAGGTCATATAACCAACCAAACTAAAATTATGGTTAAATCACTAAATTGCTGATTTTGAAACAAAACTGGCAAGTATATCCAAACATGAGTCTTTAGTTTAATTTTTCTTTTTTAAAGTTTAGGCATTGAAATATACTGCTAATTCAGTGTCCATGTGATTCAGTTATGCACTATACAAATTAGCCTCCCATTTCAACTGGTAGGTCAGAGCTTAGAAGGTTTTTGGTTTTCGGGTTTTTTTAATCCTTAAAAAAAAGAATCACTACATTGTTTGTTACAATGAAGTCTTAAGATTTCTCTTCCTGCAGATTTTTTTAAATATAAATTTTCAACAGTAAGGTTTTGAATATTATTGACTAGATTTGGTAAGTATAGCCAGAGTTTTGTAAGAAACTCTACCGTACAGGAACTAAAAATAAATTTCCATACATTACCTACTTCTTTAAAAATAGTAGTGAAGTACGTAGTTCTCCCAGCCTTCCCTCAATTTGCTGACACTGTAGCATAATGTGGGGTGGGTGAGTTAGGCAGGTGCCCTGAGTGCAACTTAAGGGGAAGAGCACCTCAGTCTCTGGTTCCCTGCTCTGCTTGCACTTTTCAGCTGCACACTGCAGTGGTGCAGGCAATGTGTCTCATGGAGTGCAAGGCATTCAAGGAATCAGTTTTGCAGAGTGGTAGTAGAGTTCAATACTGCCCGAAGAAAATTGAACCCATTTTTTGCCACCAAATTTCACATTTTTTGGCCTCCTGACATGGGGTGAAAGGGTCCTCCTGCCCCAAATGGCAAATTCCACTGCTACTCTAGAGAGCTACAATTCCCAGAACACCCTGCACTCTATGACACTGCTCAGGTCCCTGCTTGCTGCTGCTCCTGTATGCTGCCCAATGAGAGAGACTGCCCCAGCATATTATTTGCACATTATGCCTCTGTACTGACACTACAGGCATTTTCCATCTTTCAGCACCTCAAAAAAAATACCAACTTGCCTTAATTTAGATCACCACCTGCTTTTAATCTCTGCCCCCAAGACTCTCAGGCACAGATATTAGTTACTCCCATTTCTTTATCTTTAATAACATTTTCTGCTCTAGACAATTAACTATGCTGGTTGCACTTCCTAACCTGGTTTTTATAAGAAAGTCAAGGTATTTGTCAGTTTACCTTGAAAGCTCCAAAAAATTAAATCAGGAATATTTAGTATAATTATACCATATGCTTGGCAATAGGTGGCAGGGGGATCAACACAGAGGGCACAAACAAACAGTATGAAAGAGAAAAACAAATGGTCAGAAATATAGCTGCATAGCTGTTAGAAAGGTTCAGCTTTTCAGTTTAGTAATTATTTATACAAGAGCATGATTTGATTTGAAAGGTACTAAGGAATTTACGAATTCTCTCAAGCTCTCACTTAAAATATTTTTACCTATTATCAGGCACTTTGGAGGATGAAGTGTCTAGTTCTTCCAAAGTCTGCTGAAAGAGTTCTTTATTCTCATCAATGAAGTGTCGCTGCATCTCAGACATCTGAGCCATGATCTTCTCTCTGCGTAGCCTGGCAATCTCGGCTTTTCGCTTCCTCTCAGCTTTGTCTTTATCTCGCGAACTCTAAAAAGTTGTTGTTCAGTTAGCCATTTTAAAAAATATTTAAGTGGAATAGTGTGTTGTATTATACCTGCAACTTGTAATTTATTATTCATTTTAATTCCTTAGATTTCAAAGTTGATAAAAGTTGGGAATATTGTGCCTGCATCATATCTCTTTCTCTTCTGTCTGGTTCAAGTAAGAACCAGGCAGAATTGGATGCCATGGAATCCCAGAGGTGCACTGGTTAATCCATAACCTAGCTCTCTTGTGAATGTACCATATCTCTAATAAGACAGATAAAAGAATCAGGACCACAACATGACCTTTATTCCACCATGCTGTGCTTTCCAGGCTGCTGTGGCACCCCAATACCCTCCTCTGAGTGGTGCCTAAAAAGCACAATCTAGATCTAAACAAACGGGTAAGATGAAAAAACCACCACCCATCTGAAATGGCTGCAGGGCAGAAGAAACAATCAACATACAACTGTCTTCTAAATTTGTTTTTGAACTGCCTCCAAACAAAGTAAAAGATGATGAAAAATTATTAAAAGAGCAGAGTCTATAACTACTGCTGTTACTTAAAGCTAGTATTAATCAAAAAGATGAGGACAAAAGGCTCAAAGGCCTCGGGCATGTTGGGGGGGAGGCCTGGGACATAAAGGGCAATGGTAGTACTCTCCTCTATAAGAATGAACCACTCTTTCTGTACCAAGGCAGACTAATCTACAATTCGTTGGCCAGAATTACTTTGTAAACATATCTGGACTTTGATTTAGATCAGTAATTAAGAGCTTCTACCACTGCTATTCACGATCCATGCTTGTTTCAGAACAAGTACCACATATACCCAAATCCAAGACAACTTTGAATTTAAGATGACACTCCAATAATTAAAAACTACACATGGAGAATTACAAGTGTATTATAATTTTCCATGTACAGAATCTGACTAGTGGAAGGTCAACTTAAATTTGTCCACCCACACTGCTGTGGCAGTAAAAGCAGCAGCAGGGTGCAAGGGGCCAAATACGTGGCCCTTGTTCCCTTGCCCTCCCTGCCTGTCCCCGCTGTCTTACTATGCCTGTGCCTATCCTCCTTCTCACTTGCCCTTCTCCCAGTATCTGCACCACGCTATGTGCCCCCTTGCACATGCCCCCATGTTGCCTATGCCTGCCCCTTACCCTCTCTACTTCCAGTTCCCCCCACTGCAGCCTGCCCATCATGCCTGCTCTCCCCTCACTTCTCCCTTTCAGCCTGCCCTCCCCCAGCTTACCTTCTGCTGCAGCCCTGCTCTGGCCCTGCAGCAGTCAGCAGCAGAAGCCTCTGCCCTACACCCAGCCCAGCCTGCCCAGGAAAAAGCAACAGCAGCTCCTAGCCAGGTGATGTTGAGGCTGCAGGGAACAGAGCCAGAGCAGAAGGTAAGAGGGAAAGGCTGGTGGTGGATGGGGGGCGGCGGCGGCTTTGGAAGGAGTCCAGCCGCATAGTTGCCCTGTGCTTCCCAGACTATAAGCCCACTCCTCTGCCAAACAGGCCATTCTGCCCTAGGGCAGATGGCAGCTCAGCTCTGACTTCTGCCCTGAACTTGGGTCTAAAGCTCAAGCTGAGCTGCCACCTGCCTTGTGCCAGTGCTCAAATCTAAGATAAGGCTTTTTTCTGCCCCATGCTGATCGGGGGGGACAGGATGGGATGGGAGGACTTGTCTTGGATTCAAGTAAATACAGTAACAACCTTTTTGTGGCTTATTCTTACCTCTTCCATAATATTTTCTTCAGTCTCAGCCACAGGACTTGTAGAAGAGCTTTCTCTTAGTTTCTTTATAGCGTTAAAAGTCTACAAAAGAAAAACTAGTTATCTTATGACATTTGAATATTTAATATATTGTTGTAAATATTTATTACAATACTGTCCAAGTTATGGACTCAGAACCCATGGTACCAAATGCTGTGAGAAAGCAGACATACAACAAACCCACTGGAGAACATACGGAAGCTATGATTTTTGTCATATTGCAATTCCCAAATTAGCTCAGTTTAGCAATGTATTGTAAGCATTGATACTATTCATGAAAAATCCTGGAAATAAAACTAATATTTTACCTTCAGTATCCACCTGATCATGTCCTTGTGCACTTCCAAATGAGGTGCATTTTGCAAAGTTTCTAGCATAGCCAATATACTTGGAGAACTGCTAGGTGCCTCACCAGGTCCTAATGTAAACAAGAGAAGATGCAGCTGATGTGATAAATCAATATAAACAGGTTAAACACACTGTGTAAATAGCTTGAATCAAATACAATGCACAAAACAACAGCAGATCATAAAAATCATTCTTGACGTATAAATACGTCTCATAGGACTGTTCATTTCAGTGTCTCAAGGTTACTTTCATTTCAGTGTCTCAAGGTTACCTTCAAGGTTACCTCCTCCCCCCACCTCTCCCCAAATATCTTGTTCAGAATATCTTCTTCTAATCAGAGGTACAAGTGTTGAAAGTCTAAGCCCACACATTATCTACTTGCACTCTAGCATTTTAATTCTTGGGAACCGGTATATGGAATGGAAAACATTACGCTTCTGCTTGTTTTCCAAGTAAGAATGTGTCTAATATTAATGATTTTAAAAGGCAAGAAAAACTGGCAAGCAGATTCAAAGATGGAACAAAATACTTGTATCAAGTATGTATACAATCTGAATAAGTTCAGTGTCTGTTCATGCAGCTAAGGAACAGGACTTAAGATTGCTGCAATTTCAATTCAGTTGGCTGGTAGTAAAATAAAAGACAAACGTATCAGTACAATATTTTAAAAGGTAATGTGGCTCCTGGGCAATGTTGCTCCAGAGCCAATGCACAGTCCCAGACCTGGTGCACAACCCCAGAGTAACTGTGTAGGGTCAGACCTAGTAAGCTGCCCTAGCAACCTGGATCAGCCCTTGCCACAAGGCCAGCATGCCAAATGGAACTGGTGCATGGGGTTGGGGCTGGTGCTGGCCCCAAAACAACCCCACACATTGGCTCAATCCTGCTTGCAGTTGGGGACTGGAGCTCCCCATGCATCCAGAAATTTGGTGGCAAGGATGGGGGTGGAATAAGGAGGGGAGGGGAAGGGAAAGGGGAGCCAAAGTAATTAACACTATCAGTGCTCTGCCTTCTCCCCCACAATGCCACCAAATTGCCAGACATGTGGAAAGCCCTTTTCCTCCCACATAATGCACACCCCAATTTTCCCCAGCTGTTTTTTTGGAAAGAAAGATACAAGTTATATGCAAGAAAACAGGACGGACAGACAGACACACACACACACACACACACACACACACACACACACACACACACACACACACACACACACACTATTATTGTATATTAAAAGATCATATTTTAAAGTGATCTTTCAGTGCACCTTGGTTTTGAACAACAGAAGACATTTAAATAAAATATCAGAAATTGACTTTTTCATTATTTTAAATTTGCTACACATTAGACAGGATGGACATACTTGAGATCTTCTGAGTATAAGTGAATGTTACAATATTCTCTTCATTGAGATTCTCAAGGTGCTGCTTTTCTTCTTGCAGTGCCATTCCAATCAAGTGTAAAACCTAAGTAAAATCACCAGTTTCAGAACTTGTAAATTATAATACCATTTAATGTCAACAAAGAGAAACAAGTAAAAGCATAAGAGAGAGAGATCTATATACATAGCTATATATAAATATAGATATAGATATCAAGACTGCCTTTGGTGTCCTGTTTTAGCCCTAAAAAGACTTCCTTGAAGTAAATTCTTGTTATTGCGTCAAAGTCATTGAAGTGTTATACTAATACATCTTTTCATTGTTTTCCTGCACTGTCACCATGACCCTTATTTGGTTAATCACAACTAGTTTTTTTTCTCTCAGCTTTTTCCTAGTTAATTGTATATTAGTCTCTTGCATACAGTCTGTGTACACATTTAAACATCTCTTTGCCTTACCAGACACATAAGTTAACCAACATAATTAAAACATGAACTATTAACTCAAGCCTATCTGTCAAGCAACCTCTTAATACAAAAAGGAAGAATGAGTTTTCCAGCAATTTATCAATTTATAATGGCTGCCTTCCAACATAACTTAAAAATACACTAAACTTGTCCTAAAACGCTCTAGAGGCCAATTAAAAGTTTATTTAGATTAAATTTAGCCGTGAGATCTAAAGCATGTTATATTTCACTTCTCTGGTTCCCAACGATTAAGTTCTTGAAATGCTAGCCTTTCAACAAAGAAGGCTGATCCATATGTCCTGGTGGTCTGAACTCCAGAGATTGTCATCAAGAGTAGCTGAACAAACTAATCACCTCAGGACATTTAATGGACCAAAGTTACTAATCCATATGATGATATTGTATGCTACAGTTAATAAAGTAGAAGGAACTCCTCTATAATGAGGAAAAAAATATGAAGCTCAAATACAAATGAATTCTTAGGATAACTGTCAGCAATGATGCAGCTGATCACTCTTTGGTTACCAGAGTGACATCATTTTGAATTTTCCAGCTATGTTTGCAAAGATTCAAGATCCAAATAGGCATGAAGAACCTCAGAACTAAACATATTATTTCAAAAGCCTGAAGTGTGGGGAGTAATTCTAAAGTCCTTATTAAGATGAATAAAATTACCTATGCTAACTGGTGTATGAATAAATGTGAAATGATATAATATACACTACATGTTTTTACATTACCATAGACAACGGCCCTCAGAGAGACCTAAATGTATGCCAACCTTGAAGGCTTGGGTTTATATAATGTAATTATTAATATTTATGAACTACTGAATAGTTCCATAAACTGAACTGCTTTGGTATTCCAAAAACAAACTAAACATAATAAAACAAAACCCAAAAACCAAATTTAAAAAAGGATTACTTTCAAAAGTTTCACTCTCCCACTGAGATTATACCAAGGAAATGTCAGACTAAAAACAAACTATGCTCTGAAATCAACATATTTTTGAAAACAGAGATGATGCAAAAGATTAGGAAAAAAATCCTTTTCCTATCTTAAAATGACAGAATTGTTGTGAGCAGTCCAGCAATGTACAAATAGCATCTTCTTGCACGTAACAATATTCCTGATATTTCAAAACCACCTATTAGATGTGTACCTCCATTTTTAAATTTAAAATTTGTTGCAAGCAATTTTAAGCTAAGCAGGAAATTTTTAAGGACTTTAAACTATTAAAAATTCTCAAATTCACAGTTGTACTTTTTGCATATTAAGCACTTATTCAATTTGGGGCTTTACTCAGTTGTCACTGAAAGTGTGAGTATATACAGCAATATCATGAATGGACATTGTTTCTCTAACACACACACATAATTTCAAATATCTAAACATACCCTTTGCAACATGGACTCTGACCAGGCATAGCCATTATGTTCTACTGCCCACTGCAGTATCGTCCCCATAATATACAACATGACATCACACTGCAGAATATTAATTAGGCTTGCAAAGAGAGGACAGAAAGGAGGCAGGACAGGTGGTGGAAGTGCTGAAACAGAAATTGGTTTGTTACATCAATCTGAAACATTCCCATCATCCATTTGATTTAGAACTTTTCTTTTAAAATGATTTAGTAAAATCTAAACCTCAATTCCAAGTAGGTGCTTAATAAACATTATGTGGAACACTTCATCAGATTTAAAACTGCTTAAATGAATTGCAAAAACGCTTTTGCATTACATCATCACTGTAATTAAATGAAGTAAAAGTACTATTATGTAAAAAGACTGGAGGATAAAGCCACAGTTAACCATCTTTCCCTCCCACCCCAAGCAGACGCTTTCTTTTCACAACTAGTGAAGTGCAAGCATTACTCTCGAAACTGTGAAGAGCAAATCTGTTGAGCAAGGAAGGTTGTCATAAGCATGGCTCCAAGATAGATCTTAATTCATATCCCTGCTTATTCAGATTAGGGGAAATAACTGAAAACTGCTATGTTTTAACTGTTTTCTGACTAAGCAGGAAGGTGGACTTGGTTCAGCACAGCATCTAACAGTCCACCCACAACTCCTTACTGTCCTCCCTCATAAAACAAATACCTGTATCTTCTCGGTTTTGTCTTTTCAGCTTTCTTTGTGCTTCCTCTGCCTGAAAAAGGAATGTTGCAGTTACACAAAAGCTGTACAAAAAGATATAAAAAAACAACAGTAATTTGTTCTTCAGAGCATAAAAACAGATCTAGACAGCCTTATCACCTATCCATTACCCTCTTTGGCATCCATTATTGGTTTAGACATGCCAAAGGAAACTGTTCCATACAATAGGTATTAACACATCTATCATTTATGAATTTGTCTAGGCCTCTTTTGAACCTGGCTACACAATCTGCTTCTGTACAGGTGATTCACATTCCACTGATATGAAACTCACTGATTTTAATGAGACTTTACACCATAGTGTTCTGACGGCACAGAAATTATTGTAGGACAGTTCTGTCAAAGTTCAAGAAAAGTTGAACTCAGCTACAGATCACCACTCCATACTCTTCCTTTCTCCAAAGAATAATAAAGATTTAAAAGCCAAGCATACCAAAGACAATTTCACTCTTAAGACTTTTGCTCTTTATTAATTACCTTAGATTGCTCTGCCCTAGAAAAGTGATAGAAATATAGGTTGAAATCCTTGGTACACTCCGGTTTCAATTCATACAATCCTCTGCCTGTTAATCCAGGCTTTCTATAAGAATAAATATATATATATATGTATAAACAGAATGTTAATTAGGTATATACAGTGATACCAGTAATTTAATACTAATGTGGCACAGCTGAAAAACTACTGCCCAGGAAATGCCCTAAGAATTACATGACAAGGTGTTAAGGTCAAGAATAAGGTACATTAGCCAAGCTAAGTGAGGAGATGTTTTAATTCCCTTATGCTTTCATTTCCTTTTTTCCCCCCACTAATTTACATAGTCAATTTTTAAAACTGAGTTACTGAAATAAAATGTAAACTTACTTGAAACAGGCAACTTCTTCAATCACACTTTCCATCCCTGTCTCTCTATTCTCCTGCACGGGTTAAAAAAAAGAAGAAAGAAATAATATGTTCTTCTCTTTTCCCTTCACATAAACCATGAGGTAAATGAAGCAAAATAGATGCAATACCAAGCCAGGGATTAGCTTTTAAAATAATGGTTAAAAAAACCTAACCCCCACAAAAAAAACCCACTCCTGTACATAGTGTCAAGATGCCTTCAATAATTTTAACAGAAATAACATACCTTAAATGAAGCAATGCCAGCTTTAAACAGTTCACTGTAATTCTTGTTTTACACTAGGATTGCCCAACTGGCAACCTGTGGGCAGCATGTGGCCCTCAAAGGCTTAACATGCGTCCCTTGGGCTCTCATCCAGCCATTGCTGTCCCTATTGTTCCGGCTGCAGCAGCAGCCAGGGTCTTGGGGTTTTCCCTAACTCCCCCAGCTTCTGCTGCATGTCCCTGCCCCAGGGAGAAAAGCAGTGCACCACAGCAGTATGGTGTGGCCCGCAATACTGGAGGAGTGCCTGTGCAGCACACTACCACAAGGGAGCCCACAGGGAGCCCAAGGTGAGGTAGGGTGCCACACTGCACAGGGGAACAACTGCCTGTGTGGTGCAGTGGCTGGGGAGGAAAGAGGGAGGGGGGGAAAAAAGCCATGCGCCCATGCATGTACGGTGTACAGCCTAGGGGGCTCATGGCTGGTGTCACCCCCTAAGCTGTGAACTGATAGACTTAAAAAGTAAATATTCTGTTTAGTTACTTTACTATGAACATTTGACAGCATCTTCCATACAATCATTTTTTCTCCTGTTCATGTGGACTATTGAAAAAGGAACAAATATGGGAGAAAACTAAAAGAATAGGATATCAAGGTCATACATCACACATTAAGAGTCAAGCACTTGGCACTCCTTTTAGCTAATTAGGTTTCCTTTAAAAATATTTTACAAAAACATTGCCACACAATCCACATTTTCTTCTGGCCTGTTAGATACTATTTAATTATCTCAAGTTCAAAAATGCAATTCATTTTACATTTTGGATTTTGCCCTAGTTTTGTTACTTTCTGCGCTAACAGAAATTGCACCCATCCCTTAAAACTTCTACTGTATTTACTTGATTCCAAGATGAGGTTTCCCCCCACCTATTCATCATGGGGAAAACAAAGCCTTGTCTTAGAATCACATCACGACTAGGAGTTGTGAGAAAGATGTGCAGGGAACCCAGCTGGGGCAAGGACAGCATCAACTGCATGCGGCAGCAGCTCTTCTCCCTGCTTCCTTCCCCTCCTCCCTCCCCTCCCCTGCTGGCAGTGAGCCAGACAGGCAAGGAGAGGTCTGCCTTCTGCTGCAGCTGCTTTGGGCTGCAGCCTACCCAACCCTGCAGGAAGCAGCTGTGCTGGGAGCCCTGCTCAGGCTCCACAGATTTCTCCTTCTCTGCCCTGCTTCCTTCCCCCTCCCTTATCCTGTCTCCCTATAGACACAGAAAGGGAGCAGGGCAGGAAGAGAAATCTGCTGGGTGCTGAGCCAGGCTCCCAGCACAGCTGCCTCCTACAGTATGGGGCAGGAGCAGCTCTGGGAATCAGCAGGACCCATGCCCAGATCAGCAGGGAAAGCAGCAGGAGAAGGTAAATGGTGGGGTGGTAGCGATCAAGAGGGTAAGGGGTGAGGGGCAGGATGCCTGCTCCCCCACCTGCCCCTGCCTCTTACCCTTGCTTTCCCCACTATCCCTACTGCTTACCCTCACCTTTACTTTCCTCTGACCAGCCCCCTGCTTCTGCTTTTCCCATTGCCTGCTCCTCTGCTGCTGTTTTCCTGCCACAGCAGTGGTGGGGAGGGGCAAATTCAAGACAACTCCCCAATCATAAGATTCTAGACATGGAAAATTATAACAAATTCATAATTTTCCATGTCTGGAATCTAATTATTGGGGGTCATCTTAAATCTGAATTCGTCTTAGAATTGAGTAAATATGTTAATATCTTTGGTCAATAGTTACTATTATTTAGTATCAATAATACTTTTTTCATACTATTCTTCAAGAACTTTCCACTTCAGTATTTTTAAAGCCACATTTTAAAAACATTGGCAAAGTTCTATCTCCATCATATACAAGTGTTTATCAGAAATTCACAAAAAATATGATTCTTCTGGTCCAACCAAGTGCAAGATACAATTCACAATCTTGTATTTCAACATAATTCAGCATACACTCAATTACCTAGAGACCCTATGAGTATAATCTATATGCCTTAAGTTAACTGAGATATTTTATTGCAGATCAGCTCTTGCAACAAGCTTTTAACCCTACAGATACAGTTTCCTGACACTAGATTTTGAAAGTACAATGACCAAAAGATGGTGGATAAGAAAGAAGCAGACAACTGAGGAATTCGTGATGGTCATCTTCAACCTCTTCTATGTACCTCATGTCACTCTTCTTCAGGACTGCCCTTCCCTTCTACATAAACGATGTCCTGCTAGCTACAGAAAAACTTCTATCTGGACTTTCTCTAAACCTTACCTTATACAAGGTTATGCTGCCAATTTAAGTGACACAAACCTATATCAAAAGATTTGAAAACTCAGATAGGTGGGGGTACTCTGTTCATCATCTTTCAAGCTACTTACATCTTCACGTAATGCCTTTACTAATTCACTGTGGGCCATGGGCCTGATGCTCAGTTGATGGATAATTTCTCGCTTGATTTCATCTGTGGGACTTACTTGTCCTATTCCAGGACTAAATCTTTCCCCTGGAAATGTAACAACAAAATTACATAATTACTGAAGAACCTTTACCTATATTGGTACTATTCAAAAAGGGGAAAAAAAAGGTTACTAGGTATAGCAGACAAACTGAGTTATGCTCAGGCTTGTAGCATAACTTTAGGCCTTCCCAGAACTAAGCAATTACATTGTACAGAGTATCTTATAAGGCACTGGGAAAAGTGAGTGCTGTGAATGGCATAGTGGGCTGACCAGGTACAGTAGTTCCCTAGAAGGAAAGGAAACCAAAAACAGAATAGGATTGGAGTACCTCATCTAAAAAGATGAGGTAACAAACTTAAGGACTGGACAATTTGAGATAAGAACATTACAAAAGTAGTGGACAAACAGAGAGACAGAGTGTGTTTTGTTTTGCCACCCTGGAGAGAGAGGAGCAACCTTGGAATTCTTGTTTGAACAATGAGGAATCCAGAAACTAACATCCCACGCACCCAACAGAGGATTTGAGGCTGGTACCACCAAAGGTTGCTGTTACAACGCCTGAAGGAAACCTCTTGTCAGGTCGTATTGCAAGGAACAATACTTGTAATAAGTCTAGGGGTTACTAATAAAATTAACCTGATATCAAATCGGATGAGAGGCAGTGTAATCCTTGGGGGTCTCTGGTAAAAGGAATCCTGGGGCAACACTAGGGACCAGTAAGCTAGTGAGTTCAAGGAGACACAAATGAACAAGATAGCATTCCCTTCCTCCTAGAAAGGCAGGCTTTGGTACAAGAAATAGGGAATGGCACCATGAGCAGGTTGCTCACATGCCGATTTGAAATGTTAATACAAGGCCACCAAACTGATCCAAAGTGAAGTGAAATGATTAAATATATTTTAACTTACCAACAATCATTATAATTAAGTATAGCATTTCTTCTATAAGAGTATTATTTTGCTGAACCACATCCTGATTGAAAAACAGAATAAGAATTAAATTCATTTTTTCAGTTCCGAATAAGTAAAAAATGTTACATCAGTTTTTAGAAAATTGTTTTCAACACTTTCAGACTGCAACTTAAGGGGCATGCAAGCATTCACTTCTAGCAGTGAAAAATTTTCAGCGCTAGAAAGTATTCTGAGAAAGGAAGCATACATCCCCTCTACCCTGCTCCTTCTGCCTTCCCAAGACTGGGGTGATGGCTGTCTGGAGAAGGCGGGGACAGCAGCAGCTGCTCCGGTCCTCCTGTTCCTGTCGTACTGGAGAAGCAGGGCAAAAGCTCCACCAGTGCCTGGTGTTAGAAGCAGGCAGGTAGCTTGCAGCACTGCTTGGCTCCTGGGCATCAGGAGCTGAGCAGATGGAACAGCACACCACTTCTCATGCCAGAATCCTGGTGTGTAAGGACCCAGCAACAAGGCCAAATGCTTGTCCCCTAGGGCCCCTCCTATTCTGGAGGGGAGGAGGGGAAGCTGTCCTCCAAGCCAGGGTGACCCCAGAAAGCAAGGGAGGAGTTAAGCCATGGGAAGAGTACAAACAGTTTTTCTCCTGGAAGAAATTCTCCCAAGACTATCTTCTATTGAATTTGAGATAACTATTCCCCCCTCCCCCCGAACTGCAATTTTTTCATCAGAGAGAAACAACATGAACGTTTGTGCAGTTTCTACTGGAAGAACGGCCATTCTCCCAGTACAACATAACACTTTATGTGGCCTCAATTCTATTGCCAATTCTTGCCATTAAGATTAATGCTAATCATGAGCTGTAATCTTTTTTCACACTCCTATCAAAAGACAAATAACCCTTTATTAATTTGCTATGTTACTTTAAAATTTCAATTTATTTTATAAAATGCACACTTCACAAGAAAACTACCAACCTGGCAAATTTAAAATGACAGGGAATACCTGCCAGCCAAAAAAATTTATCTACAGGTATGCTGATGCAATTGGCCCAATTTCCATGTGCAAATACCCAGAGATCAAGCTCTCTGTGTGTTTCTATACTAAGAGGCAAACTTTTAGGGCAATGGAATGGCAGAACACACAAGATCTCCATATACAGATGAAAAAAATCTCAAGTTAATTGATAGAAAAACATAAAAAATGTAATAATTATTCTGCAGGATATTTTTTGGAGATCTGGGGGGGGAAAAAGTTAGGACAGATAAAAGCAGATCTACACTGTATGAAATTCTTAATTAATGTGTTATAACAGATTATTTGTAAAGCTCAGCACCAGCAAAACAGCCTCTCCTATTTCCTTACTGTGCTTTTGTTAACACACAGAATATGTTACATTATTTGAATTCAAATTACTGTATTTCTGCCAGAGGAGTGAAATCACTTCAGAATTCAAGAGTCACTCCTCACCAAGAGTTCAGCCTGTCTTTGTAGAACATCAGAGCTTAATGGGCTAAAATGTGAGACCAGGATACTATAATAATTTAAGTCTCTGTTTAACTCAAGTGGTACCATTTTGTTCTAATACAGGGTGTTTATAAAGTCCTTGTGCAACTTTAAACTTTAATAACTTTGGATGTACACACGATAGGAACAAACTGTAAATGGCAATTGAAAGCATAATTTATTAAGTTCTAACACAATATAGCTCAAATTTCTAGACCTCAACGTAACTGCCATCTTTCATGATAAATCATTCAATCCAATTTTCCAACTCATAGAAAACATTTTCCAGTTGCTGCTGAGTAATTTCATTAATTCCATTTGTAATACTTACCCTAAGCATAGCTTACACTATGCTAAAACAAACTTAAAGAATTATGCTTTCAATGGCTGTTTAGTTTGCTTTTATTATGTGTATATCCAAAATTATCAAAGTTTAAAGTTGCACAAGGGCTTTATAAACATGCTGTACTATATGTGACAAATTCTCTAATAATTGGTCTAGGAAACAAAATGGTGCCTTTTCACACCCTTCTTGGTATTTTTACAATGCAAAATAAAAAGTAGAGACGTGAATACTAAAGTGAAGTCTAAGTAGTTTTAAAAAAATGTTTTTTTTTCATTCAGAGGTAACAGAAACATATAAAGTACCTTATTAGTATTATCTGTGCTAAATCTTTTGCCATAGTCTGGAGTGCTAAATATCTGATAAAGTTCAAAACGACTCAGCATTACCATTAGGAAATGGTTTGGATCCATCATGGATACACCAGTCTATTAAAAAAAAAAAAGGAAGAAAGAGACTAAGCAAAAAAAGGTATTAAAATATTATTACATATGTAAAAATGGAATGGGTGCATTTGTGGGATGCAATTTTGGATTACACAAATACTACATATACAATGCATATAGACACTGTATTTTTCTTATGGACTTTATTTTTCCTACATAGATTTAATTACTAAAATTACTCACATAGACCCCAATCATCCAAGTGAGTCTGCAGAGATATACAGGTTTGCTTAAGTAGAAACCCTTGCAAGATCAGAGCATATTTTAAATACATTAGCAACACTTTAAATGCCACGCCTTTCAAAAATACATGACCAAAAAAAAAATTCACAAGTGCTTTTAGTTTCTGGTCATCATCCCAACTTATGAAATTAAATACTGTTAATAACTAAGGATACTTATACATTACATTTCTACTTATTTAAAACCAAACTAAAAAATGCTCTCCCAGAAAACTTAGTAAATGTAAAGACTTTCCAAGCTTTCCCATAAGGAAACAGGGTGATAGATAGGAATACTGATTTTAAAAATGTAACACTCATTTCTTTCACACACCTTCAATTTGTGAAAAACTAAGCTCTATGATCTGGAAATGACCGATATAGACCTATATTTAATAAATAAGCTGTGGTCAAGTGGTTGTGTTAAGGATCCGGAGACAACCAGCCCAATACTAAGGAAAAGGTCTGTTCTCTCCTAATGTCCATTGAAAAGAACAGGAGATAACTGGAAACTAACACACCCTAACTTTATATCTTCACATCTCACTTAGAGCTGTACACTTACCAGGGTTCAGTTTCCTTCCCCACACCTGCCCTTCTTTGTGTTACAGGAAAGTGGGAAGACACTATACACCACATCTGGACAGCAGAATAGGTTTTCCCCACTCCGTCCTCTATTCTACTGCCAGTGGGCAAAGGGGATGGTAACAGGTGTGGATGACTAGCTCCAACCTAGTGGATGTCATAGAATTTTTTTTAAAGGTTGTGACGTAATGATTAGCCATTCTGCAAACCTTACTTCAGCTTTCAATTTGTCCCACCCTTCAACTGGTTCTAGATCTACTTTCCTGTTTGGGGTTGGGCAATCATCAGTTTGGGAGTCTTCAGTTTGGGACAAAAATCAGCAAAAGGCTTCACCTTCCATCCAGTATTTTGGAGGCCTTTTTGGAAGCAGAAGCACTGAAATATACTTACTGCAGTTTCCACTGTAATCAATGGCTTATAAGGATCAATTTGTGGTCCACTTGAGTCCATGGCCAGTGCTGAGCAGAGCACTGCATAGTGAGGGGTATGCCACCATGCCACCTGTCTTGGGCAGCATTTGGTTTCCTTTATCTCACTGGTCTGTAAGGTGTGTGTGTGGGGGTGGGGGGGTGGAAGGGAGAGGGGTAGAATGAAACTCTGGCTTCTAGTTAAGACCCCAGCAAAGACCGGAATAGATGGGACACAATACCTTCACACCCACCCTCAGGTTTGCAGTACCCTGGGAACTTTGGTCCCAGTAGAGGTCCACAACCCTGAAATAAGTCTGCTGAGTAGTTTGAGATGGTTATCCAAGTTGAGTAATGTTGTAAAATAAAAATTGTATTTTAGATACTTCATGGCCTATATCTTCAATTTGATATCTGCGCCAATTATGCTTTTCATAGTTGCAACTAACACCAAAGACAGTATTCCCCTCTATATAATTTGTTCCTCCCTTGTAAAGGCACTTAAAACCAAAGAATGAAGGATTGTAAAAAAGTAAATATGTTTAGAAAATTCAGGTCATATGAAGATTTCAATGCTATACAGTAGATTTTTTTAAATTAAAACTACATCAATAGGTATATAGTGAAAATGTCTATCACAAAAACAAACAAACAAAAACACTTAATACATTTACCTGAAGCATTACTATGTCTTTGTCAAACATTTCTCTCCTGCATTTCACATTATGATAGTAATAGATCTGAAAAATATGATATTTTATTATTTAACCAGTTTCCTGGTCTGAACCCGTTTTCAATTCAATGAAGAATTTATCTCAATTTTTCAGTGAGAAAGAATTAAAGGATAAATTAGCAAACTGATAAAAGGCATGCCTGAACAAATATGAATGCATATTAGGTACTTTCATTTGCAAGCAACATTTCTGATATACTGATGAGTTACTCCACTGCCTCTATAGCAGCGATTCTTAACCGCTTTAGACTCAAGGCATTCCTCAAAAAAGGCCAGCTCTTAGCTTTCATTCATTTTTCAACTACAAGAAAATAGAACAATTCTTCTACTGCATAAAACTTAGAAAAACCACAAGAGATCAGAACGTTTTCGACACTATGGATTCCTATTTGAAATCTGAGTTGATCGTGTTTAGCATGTAGGTAGCCATACACTGGTTGAGAATGATTACTCTATAGGTTTAGGTTGCTTGATAAATTAGGAAAGATTAGGAAAGATTCTCACGAACTTTTCTTGAATAGCTCCCACCCTTCCAATTGCTTTCCTTTGACATTCTATGGGGAGAACATCTTGGGACCAATCTAGTGTCTTTCTTCCATGACATTCTATTCAGTTAGCTACCATATGTATTTTTGCCATTTCCTTTTTGCTATGAGTGCCGTCAGCATGACAAAGAAATTGAACATTTTAATTTAAGACTGAGAACATGGTTCTAGCAAAGCAGAATCATCAAAAGCACCATACTGTACTGGAAATCCTGTGAAAGATTGGCCATCCAGGAGAGAAAAAGAGTCAATACTGCCTACAGCATACAACCCCAGTGGGCCACTCCTATGCACAGAGGCCCTGCCAACAGAATCACTCCTGACCCACTGCCCTCCATCCTCAAGCCCCAGCCCCCCCAGTGTGTGGGGCAGGGAGTGGGTGTATAGGGGCCCCAAGGACCCCCTCGAGGCTGGAACTCTGTTTTCCATGTTTTTCTTCTTTAAAGGAGAATCCAATTTAAAAGTTCTTCTGCAACCCTTACATATATTATTGCAACCCACTTTTGGGTCATGACCCACAGATTGAGAAGTGCTGGTTCTAGTCCAACCCCCTGCTCAAAGCAGGACCAGCCCCAAATAGAACATCCCAGCCAAGGCTTTGTCTAGCCAGGTCTTAAAAACCTCCAAGGATGGAGAGTCTACAAACTCCCTGAGTAACCTGTTCCAGTGTTTTACTACCCTCCAGTGAGAAAAATTTTCCTAATATATAACCTAAACTTCCCTCGTTGCAATTTAAGACCACTGCTCCTTAACAGTCTAGCTCCTTTTTTGGAAGTATCCTTCTGGTAGATCAAGGCTGCTATTAAATCCACCCACCAAGTCTTCTCTTCTCCAGACTAAATAAGCCCAGTTCCCTCAGCCTCTCCTCAGAAGTCATGTCCCCCAGCCTCCTCACCATTTCCATTGCCCATCACTGGACTCTCCAATTTGTCCACATCCTTTCTATAGTGGGGGGCCCAAATCTGGACACAGTATTTCAGATGTGGCCTCATCAGTGTAGAATAGAGGGAAATAATTACTTCCCTCGATCTGCTGGCAATATTCCTACTAATGCAGCCCCATATGCTGTTAGCCTTCTTGGCAACAAGGGCACACTGCTGACCCATATTCAACTTCTTGTCCACTGGAACCCCACAAGCTCCTTTTCAGCAGAGCTGCTGCTTAGCCAGTTGGTCCCAAGTCTGTAGTGGTGAATGGGATTCTTCTGTCCTAAGTGCAGGACTTTGCACTTGTCCTTATTGAACCTCATGAAATTTCTTTTGGTCGAATCCTCCAATTTGTTGAGGTCTCTCTGAAACCTAGCCCTACCCTCCAGTATATTTACTACTCCCCACAGCTTGGTGTCATCTCTAAACTTGCTGAGGGTGCACTCTATTCCATCTTCCAGGTCACTGATGAAAACATTGAACAAAACTGACCCCAGGACCAACCATTGGGGCACTCCATTTGACAATGGCTACCAACTAGACACTGAGTCATTGACTACTACCCTCTGAGCCTGATGATCCAGCTAGTTTTCTATCCACCTTACAGTCCATTCATCCAACCTGTACTTCCTTAGCTTGCTCGCAAGAATGTTGTGGAAGACTATCAAAAGCCTTGCTGAAGTCAAGGTATATCACATCCACTGATCTTACTGCATCCACAGAGCCAGTAATCTCATCATAGAAGGCAATCAGGTTGGTCAGGCATGACTTGTCCCCGGTGAATCCAGGCTGACTGTTTCTAATCACCTTCATATCCTCCAAGTGCTTAGAAATGGATTTCTTGACCTGCACCATGATTTTTCCAGGGAATGAGGTGAGGCTGACCAGTCTGTAGTTTCCCGAATTCTCCTTCTTCCCTTTCTTAAAAGATGGGTACTATATTTGCCCTTTTCCAATCATCCAGGACCTCTCCCAATTGCCATGAGTTTTCAAAGATGATGGCCAGTGGCTCTGCAGTGACATCAGCCAACTCCCTCAGCACCCTCAGGTGCATCCCATCCGGCTCTGTGGACTTGTACACATCCAGTTTTTCAAAGTAGTCCCTAACCTGCTCTTTTGCCACTGCTGGATGTTCACCTTCTCCCCAAACTATGCTGCCCAGTGCAGTAGTCTAGGAGCCCACCTTGCCTGTGAAGAATGAGGTGAAAGAGATATTGAGTACTTCACCCTTTTCTACATCCTCTGTCACTAGGCTGCCTCCCCCATTTAGCAAAGGACCTAAATTTTCCCTGATCCTCCTCTTGACGTTTATAGAAACCCTTCTTGTTACCCTTTATGTCCCTTGCTAGCTGCTACTCCAGTTGTGCTTTGGCCTTCCTGATTTCATCCTTGCATGCCCAAGCAATACTCTTATATTCCCCACTACTGGTTTGTCCAAGTTTCCACTTATAAGTGTCCTTTTTGTGTTTTAGCTTACTGAAGAGTTTCCTGATAAACCAAGCTGGTCTTCTGCCATACTTGCTAATCTTCCCACACATTCGAATGATTTGTTCCTGCACCCTCAGTTATCTTCTTTAAAATTCAACCACCTCTCCTGGACTCCTTTCCCCCCTCAGACTAGCCTCCCAGGGAACCCTGCTGATGAGTTCCCCGAGTGAGCTGAAACTTTCTGAAGTCCAGAGTCCATACTTTGCTGCTTTCCTTCCTTCTTTTCCTCAGGATCCTGAACTCAATCATCTTGTGATCACTTTTCCCCAAGCTGCCATCCCCTACCCACTACCCACCAATTTTTCCCTGTTTGTGAGCAGCAGGTCAAAAAGAACATGCCCCCTAGTTGGCCTCTCCAGTACTTGCACTGGGAAGCTGTCCCCAACACTCTCCAAAAACTTCCTGCATTGCCTATATGCACTGCTTTATTGCTCTCCGAGAAGATGTCAAGGTGATTGAAGACCCCCATGAGAACAAGGACTTATGATCCGGAAACTTCTGCAAGCTGTTTGAAGAAAGCCTCATCTACCATTTCCTTCTGGTCTGGTGGTCTATAACAGACACCCATACCATGACATCACCCGTGTTGCTCTCCCTTCTGATCCTAACCCAGAGACTTTCAACAGGCCTGTCCCCAGTTTCATACTGGAGCTCTGAGCAATCATACAATTCTCTTACATAACAAGGAACTCCTCCTCCTCTTCTTCTCCCCTGCCTGTCCTTCCTAAACAATTTGTACCCATCTATGACACTGCTCTAGTCATGCAAGTTATCCCACCAAGTCTCTGTTATTCCAATCACGTCATAGTTCCATGACTGTAAAAGGACTTCCAATTCTTTCTGCTTGTTTCTAAGGCTCGATGCATTCATGTACAGACAGAAGCAGTCTTTCGTCTCCAAGCAGAGAAAGGTAAGGGAGATAGCAAGTTTAGCCACACAGTCCCCAAAACACAAAGCCACACACAGACTCCCTTTTATATTTCCAAAAAAACCCTTCTCTTGCAGCCAGCTAATGTAATTATTTCTCTAGTTCAGCGATTCTCAACCAGGATGTCACAGCACCCTGGCATGCCCTGAAAATACTGCAGGGGTGCTCCAGAGTACTGTGCAATCTTACCACTGTTAGGTGTAAAACACGAGTAACAAGATAAACTCAGAAATTTCAAGTAGAAATCCATCATGTTAAAAGCATTTTGACCTGTCATGATCTTTCTGAGTTCTTTGCAGCAGCAGAATTGCTCTATTGCTTTCAATAACCAAAAATCAAGTGAAAACTAAGAGCTGACATTTTCAAAGCATGCCCTGAGTCTGCTGAGAAATGCACTGAATCCTAAAAGGTTGAGAAACACTGCTCTAGCTCAACCTACACTGAAATGCTTAAAGTTGAGACTGCATACTCAACCAATAAAAGATAATGAGATCATTACAGTACATAACTGGGCCTGGTTTTCTCTTTTTTCCCTCTTGAAAAAAACTACATACAATCCCATGCCCCTCATGTTATAACAATATTCATTAAGTTACAAAATCATGCTTGTGAAAGTTTGGAAGCATTAGATTTACGTTGCCGCCTCGTGCATCTGCACAAGACAGGTCTTTAATTACATGTCAGAGCCCCTATCTCATTCAGTGCACAGGGAAGATAATGCTTAGAGAACAAGTTAGAGTTGTGTAGTAAATATAGCTATTTTTAGGACTGCTGCCTCATTTGTTGTGAAAACTGTTAAGACAGACAGGGCCCCGAGGGCCCTATTTGAGACACCTGAAGCTTCATTTGCAAAAAAAAAAATAAAAATGCAGCACTCACACTTGCAAATGAAGTTAGTAGGAGAAGAAAGAACTCAAGAATTGCTAAATTCTAATCCTGGTTCTGCTACTTAGTTACTGGGTGACCTCCAGCAAGTTTGCCTCTGTATTCTAATCTGTAATATGGAGACAATATGCAACGGACAGCAAAGGTATGGAAATATTAATTTAAGAAGACACTTTGGGCAAGGTTCTACAACAAAAGGCAGTGCCACAAAGAGAAACGCTATACACACTAGCTTTGGAAGTGGAAGCAAACCAGCTGTGTTCATGGATTTTGAAAAGGAGGGTGCAGATGGTATGGCACAACACATATAACGCAACACATTTTTCTCCACCTAAAAAGAAACTAGAAGCTTTGTTAATATGATAGGGGGCAAAAACAAATATAGCTTTTAGAATGTGCACTGATTTGGTAGATTATATAGCAAATTTAAAAGACACAACAAACTAGGCAAAAATAATCAGAAGATGTTGTGTCTTTAGCCCTTAGGCAATATAGTTAAATGTACGTCTTTATTCAGATTCATAAAACAAAATCTAGCTGTCTTGATAGCACTTCCAATACCTCACTATTAGTCATTTCTATGTCTGAATTAATATTACCACACCTTAGTTAAGGTTTTTAGCTAGAGCTAAAAAATAGTCTTCAGGGCTGTGAAATAGAAAACACACATTACCAGGAATGGCTAACAGACCGCAAAGGTACAGAAGAAAGGATAGTTCGAACAGTGGAACATCAAGACCATTAAAAAGGGCAGAGGGTTGTTAACACTGGTAGAGTAGAAAGAAATTAGCAGGAATCAGGGAGATGATAATGAAGCCAATTGACTCTCAGCACTGCCTGAATAAGAATACCTCCCAGACAGATGGTTTTAAAGATTGGATGGAGGAGGAATCAAAGGGGGATGCAACTGTCCCACCCTGTGTCCACCCCTAGCTGTGTTACCAATGCACTATGCACTGACTAATTAATTTGTCTAAGCAACAAGGCTTATTAGGGTGACGCTATACTCAGGTTATGCTGCTTTCAGTTCTGGAGCTAGCACACACTGAGCTAGCTCTTTGCATCTGCCTAGGCCAGCTTTGCAAACTAAAGATTCTTAATACTAAGCAATGAAACCCTCTCCAAAGACTATAATGAAATAATCCTGTACATGTGCAGTTTTGGATGGTGTGCAATAAATGAGATGAAGGTCATTAAAGAATGATGAAAATAGAGGTGTTTAGCAGCTGTCTCATTTACAGAACACCACCTGTTAGAGTTCACTGAATAAAAATATGAAAAACATGTAATTAAGGGCAAAAGTAAACATTTTTAGAGCACCAATAGAAGCTCTGGTCCAACTGCCTTTCAATTAACATTATACCCCTAAGTGAGTTTTGAATATGAGACTTGGATGTTGGATCTGGGAGTGTAAACTACACCAGCTTGGGCACAGACTTCAGGGCACTGCAGGGACAGGATGCACAATTGCATCAGTGACACAGCAACAGCTGGAAGCTTTGTTGTGCCTCTGGCTGGGTAATTCACATATGGAAGCGATGTGCACTCTGACCTGCTCTGAGCCTTTTTCTGAGAGACCCTACTCCTGGGCTCACAACTCCAATTCCAGCCTGAGCCCAATTACTAAAATCAAATTTCTGTGGAGCTTGTGACCTCTCTCTCATTAAATGCCCTATTTGGGGTCACAATCCCTAGTTTGGTAACTGCTGATCACATAACATAAAGCAAACATTTATGTATCACAGCTAGCAAAGAAACACTTACTTGATTTACAAGAGAGAACCCATTTCTTCGCCACATTCCTGCATGCACTTGGGCACATAAAACTAGACATCGTAGAGGGTGCTCTATTAACATAGGTGGACTAAGTTCACTCTGCAGAATATAAAAATATGAAAGCCTTAATGTAATTAGAATTGTAATTTTCTCTCTTTTTTTTTCTTCTTTTGCTGGGGGAGGGTAATGTGGGGGCTTTTAAAGAATTTTAGGAACAGAAAAAGGTAACAAAATCCAAAGCCAATTAAATTGCAAGGGCTGCATGAACTCAGTCATCTCTTCATGTTAACTTGTCTCATATTTTACCTTTGCTTTATATAGTACTACTACCTGAAGTCCGTGGTTTACTCTAATATCCCCTAGTTTTCAAACTTCCCCTTAATGTGAAAAACGTACCCACATCAAATCATTTAATACATTTTTTTAAAGTTTACCACAGAACATCATTTATACTCTTAGCTGGCTGGCTATCTTCCCTTTGCTCTGTATATCCTTTTATTTATTCAAAAGGAAACTAAATCTTTCAAAAGACAGTGCAGTTTCTTCTACCAGTTCTGTTCCCTCCTTTTATTTTCCATGGTCTCTTCCCCTGCGCCCCCCCCTCCCACCCCCGCAACA